CAGGGATCAGAATATTTCACTTATTCTGAAAACAATGACACCATACATTTCTATGCACAAGTGTAATACTCACCCGGTGTCATTGGCATTATTGGGAAAGCCGCTGAAATGCATACACGCACACACACAATCTTTAGCAAGTGGAACTGAAATTGAAAGTAAGCAGCGCATTAACAAGCACTCACGCATGCAAATGCTTTGCGGTTGTGGACACGGCGATGGGCAAGGTGGGAGGCACGGTGGGGCACATGGTGGGGCACAAGGTGTTACACAAGGTGGGGCACAAGGTTGAGGGCAACTTGCTGAAAGGAGACATTGAAGTAGTAATTCGACACTCATCATTTTCATGAGCAACTATTGTTAAAAAGAGAATGGGGGAGGTCTGTGGGACACGTCATCTCTCAACTCGTCATCGCATGCCTGCATGCTAGGATTGGGAGGTGCGGCAGTACAACTCGGTGTGCAGCGGCCGTACAAACAGAGACCAATTATTAACCTCTGTTTAACCTTAGCCCCCATCTTGATCATGAGTAGCTCCCTGCGTGTACACTTTATCCCCAATATACCCCCTGAATAAACGTGCTCCGTGCTATACATCTGTTCCTTCATAGCTGGGCTATAGCTTAGCTGGTTCTGGGAGATCCTTTCATAGCTGGGCTATAGCTTAGCTGGTTCTGGGAGTCTTTCATAGCTGGGCTATAGCTTAGCTGGTTCTGGGAGTCAGCCTATAGCTGGGCTATAGCTTAGCTTATTCTGGGAGTCTAGCGTAGCTGGGGTATAGCTTAGCTGGTTCTGGGAGTCTAGCTAGATGTGGGCTATAGCTTAGTTGGTTCTGGGAGTCTAGCTAGATGAGTTTCCTTCATAGCTGGGCTATAGCTTAGCTGGTTCTGGGAGTCTAGCTAGATGTTGGAGAGTCTGCCACATAGAGATTTCTGAGTCAGTCAGGCTTTACTTGTGCAGCAATCCGCTACAGATCGCTTACATGAAATTTTAGCTCATGGGTTGGCTTTGGTGTAAATAGTACGTATTTAAGCAAAAAATCTAGGGATACACACATTGAAAGCTAAAATATGCATATGGCAACTCACAAAGTTGATTCTCCGTTCTGTCAGGCAGTGGAACACTTTCTACAACGAACATTAATATATGATTTCATAAAGGAATGAATGCTTGGTAACATGATAAAATGGCATTATCATCATTAATCTTACCTGGGATAACTTCTGGAATGTCCGCTGTAAAATAAATATTGATTATTGATTTTTTAAATTTTTGCAAATATGGTGCTTGTGGTGTAGAAGATTTATCGAAACTTACGAATTGGTATGTCCGGCATTTTTGCTATTATAAAATACTCGTTAGTTAAATTTACTCTTGTTTTATTACTTTAAATTAAATTATCAGAATTTCCTTACGTTTCTCGACATGAGGCATAGGCACATTAGCTGCAGGGTGGGAAAAATGGTGTCCGCCAATGAGACAGAAATGAAAGAATTTGGGGGGGGGGGGGGGGGAATTGTTAATGAAAGCACAACGCACCACATTCGTCCACAACCTTCTGTTCTTCACACTTGATACAGCACATTTGTTCACTGAATTCAGCCAGCAGTTTTTTCTCCTCCGAGGAATCAGATTGATATGACGGAACATTTGTCACCGTTTGTATTTGTT